TTATTTTTAATTAAAATAGTTTAATTCACTGAAACTATTCTGCATGATACTGTAATGGTAGACACACGACATTATGCATTTGCCTGGTGTGGTGCCTGATACCAGGCATCTAGCCTCCTAAACTGAGAGAATAGAGTTTTGTTTATTAAAGGCATCCACTTGTGGTATTTCTGTTATAGCAGCACCAGAGAACTAAGACATCCTTCTATACACAAGGGAAAAGCCTTCCCTTTTTCCTCTGGGATCCCTGTGGCTCTTTGTACATGCCTCAATGATAAACTATTAGCAATTGGGCTATAATTTTGTTTAGAAAATGGATCAACTTTTATAAATTCCTTAAATATAGAGATCATGCTGTTTTATTTATGTAAAACAAACAAAACAAAAAGTTGTTGAGTTAATTCCAACTCACAGGTATACTATAGAACAGAGTATTGTTGAGTGCTGTTGAGTCAGTTCCAACCCATAGCAACCCTGTATAGGGTTTCCAAGGAGCGGCTGGTGAACTTGAACTGCTGACCATGTGGTTCAAACCAACTTTGCAGTCCATCACATTAACCCACAGTGCCACACCAGGACTCCAGAGAACTGAGTAGAGCTTCCTAAGAGTGCCCAAGGCTATAATTCTGTATGGAAGCAGACTGCCTCAACTTTCTTCTTTTAAGCAACTGGTGGGTTCAAACTTCTGACTTTAAGTTAGCAGCCAAGTGTGTAACCACTAAGTCACCACTCCTTCTTAATGAGCTATGTGTCCCCAATGCCAGAAATAGTATCTACCTGGTACAGAGCAAATGCTTAACGCTTGATAAGTAAACTCCTAACAGTTGATGAGTCTCAGATAGTTTGTGGTATTGTTGTTAACTGCCATGGAGTCAGTTCTGACTTATAGTGACCCTGTATAGGGTTTCCAAGGAGTGGCTGATGGGTTTGAACCACTGTCCTTACAGTTAGCAGTTCGGTGCTTATCCTGCAATGCCACAGAAGGACTCCCATTAGAGAGCTACAAATCAAAACTACAATCAGATAACCGAAATGGCAATGATTCACTATCAAATGGCAATGCTCAAGAAAACAGCAAACGACAAACACTGGCAAGGTTATGGGTGGTCTGGAACTCTTACACGTTGCTGGTGGGATTGTAAAGTGACACAACCATGATGTTAAAGAGAATGGAGCTTCCTCAAAGTGCTAGAAATAGAAACACTGCGTGATCTAGCAATCCTACTCCCAGGTAACCTAGAAATATAAGAGCAGCGACATAAGAAGACATATGCACACCTATGTTAATTGCAATATTATTTACAATAGCAAAAAAGATGGAAATAACTGAGGGGTGGGCAAACTGTGGTCCACACACAGTGGAGCACTACGCAATAGCTACCAGCTCATAACCCATGCTAGAGACACAAATGAAGGCTGCCTAGACTCACAGAGTGCCACTTGGTGCTGGGATACAAACACCAAACCCACCCCACTGCCTTCAAGTCCCTCCTGACTCATAGCAACCCTGTAGAGGGTTTCTGAGATTGTAAATTTTATAGGAGCAGGCAGCTCTGTCTCTTTTGAAGTGGTTAATGGGTTTGGAGTTAGTAGCCCCAAAACCTAGCCCACACTACCACCAGGGTTCCTTATATTATTGGGATATGAACCATTAATAGTGCCATGGTGACTTAGTAACATGCTGTTTCGTTGCTTTAAATTTACCTTAGTTACTGTTGGACTCACCCACCCACATGTGGGAATACACTCTCAAAGGCTCTGATGAGGTCAGTTGTTGGTCTGTATCTAACAAAGTATGACTTGTCCCTCTGACTGGACACTGAGTATAAATGGAATCATCACCCATTCTTATTGAAATCATACATATTATAAGAAAGGTTACGATTATGCAGCTCCCTAATACACTGTGCCTGTAAGATAAAGTAGTATAATTGTTTCTATTAAAAAAGATTTTTTTTTGAGTTGCCTTCAAGCCATGAAGACCCTGTGTGTGTCAGACCAGAATGCGCTCCTTAGGGTTTTTCAGTGGCTTCATTTTTGGAAAGATGTCAGGAGGCTTTTCATGTGAGGCACCTCTGCTTAGTAGCTTTCTGGTTAATAGTCAAGCACACTAACCATTTGCATAGGATAAGCACTGAGCTGCCAAGCATGTAAGGTCAGCGGTTGAAACCTAACAGCTTCATGGAAGAAAGGCTTTCTGTTCCTGCAAAGATTTACAATCCCAGAAACTATACAGGGTCGTTCGGAGTCAGCACCAACTCCAGCGTACTAACAACATAGTAAAAAGGTATATCTTTTTATGAAAAAGTACCACAATAAAGGAAATAAATTTATTATTCACATCCTTACAATTTGTTGTTGTTGTTAAGTATCATCAAGTCAGTTCCAACTCATAGCGACCCAGTGTAGGTTCCCAAGGAACAGCTGGTGAGTTTGAACTGCCAACCTTGTGGTTGAAACCAACCTGGAGGCCCTGTTCTTATCCTGCAGTGCAACACCAGGACTCCTCCTTACAATTAGCTGTGGTCATTTTAATAAATAATTACTCTATTAAAAAGCTGCCCTAAAAGACTCACTGGTCTAAACCAAAAGAGAACAGAATGCTTTTTAACATGTTTTGTCTTCTACGTAGGAGTACCTGACACTTGTGTTCTAGATGGGCTGCTTCCCAAGTCCATAGGTCATATAGTACAGCAAACCTGTCCACACCTGCATGGGCCCATCTCCAATCCTGGCCTGCCTGTGACTTGCTGCCCTCTTTGTGACCTGGGGGAGAAAATGAGGAAATCATTAGAGACTGAAGAAGCTGTTCCTATTCATAATGTGCTCCTCAGATTGTCTGCTCCATCTCAGAAATGGAAACACTAGACCAGTCACTGAGATTCCTGAGAATTAGCGAAAGAGCTATCTAGGATAAACACTGGCCTGCTAACCACAAGGTCAGCAGTTCAAACCCACCAGTCACTCCTCAGAAACCGTATTCCAGGGTCGCTACGTGTTGGAACCGACTCGATAGCATGTAAAAACAACAATAAGTCAAAGGTTTTTGTTTTTACTTTCAAATGTGAGTTTTATAGACTAATTTTAGAAATAACACGGAAATTCCATTCATCTGAAATCTGTGCTATAATGTCCTCAACTTTTGCATTTAAAGGCAAGTACACATTTCTTTTCTAAAAACATGCCTTGTTATTTTAACAACAAATCCAAATTTCATTTGCTATTTCCATGGATTGTGGTGGTACTGTTCAGTGCTGTTGAGTTGGTTCCGACTCGTAGCAACCCTGTAGAGGGCTTCCAAGGGGCCACTGTGGGTTTGAACCTCTAACCTGGAGGTTAGCGGTACAGTGCTTATTCTACAGCACCACACTAGGACTCCGTGGTTGTTGTTGTTGTTGTTGTTGTTAAGTGCCATCAAGGTGGTTCCAACTCAGAGCAACCCTGTAATAGGATTTCCAAGGAGCGGCTGGTGGGTTTGAACCATTGACCTGGTGGTTCATAGCCACGTCAAAATCTTTGTGAGATGTTCCTAAGATGTTCCTTAATTATGTTCATTACTTACTTAAACTAATAAAGGCAATCATTAGTATTCCTTTACTAAAATATTTGTCCACTGCATTAGTGCTAATGTTCACCGCCAGCATCACTGCACTTTTAAAATGTTAGCTATTCTAGCTTAGAATGCACTATTAGAAGGTAAGAGATCCTCAGGTGCTGGGGTTTGAGTTCAATGACTAGCAAGTATATGAAAGGTACTGAATGAGAAAAAGGGACTGAGTGAGAAAAAGATTGCCCAAGCACTCCTCTAGCAGCTGTTGGGAGATCATCTCATAATGAAGGACTTGTTAGCTCAACTGAAAGATGCTTATGTAGCTAAATGACAGCTAAGCATTTTAATAAATTAAATTCTAAGCAGCTGAAAATAAGTTTGTAGCTCTATAAATGGATAGCAACAAAAATGATATGTTAATATGTAGGGTAATCAACAAAGATAAAAGCTAAGAGCTGAAATGAAACGTCCTGGGATGTTGGACACCATCTCTGCACCCCATGATTCAGATAAAAATGATTTTTGGCAAAGACAGGTCAAAGAGTTCAATCCTATATTAAATTAATTCTGTCCGCCATCTGAAAAGCTAATTGTCAAATAAACATTCTTGGAACCACATTTCATAACAATATGAACATGAATTAACCTTAGTCATGAGTCTACATATATTACAAAATAGCCCAAACCTTTACATTTATTTCCCTTTACATGTTGTAGTGTGTCTGGGAGCTCTACGCTCTTTCCAAATGTAAAGCTTATGCTGTCGTATTATTCTCAAATACTATTCTTAACTTAACCATTTCTATAATCGGATAAATTTGAGTGATTCCCAAAGGAAGAGAAGCTGCAGTGTATGGGTTACTTGATTAGCCTGAAGGAGACATACTGGGAGATGGCTACGTGCTCAGCTGCTAACTGATAGGTCTGTGGTTCAAACCCCCCAACAGAAAAATGGCAGTTTGCTTTAGTGAAGATTTACAACCTTGGAAACTCCATGGAGCCATCCATTCTACACTTTCCTACAGGGTTGTATGAGTTGGAATCAACGCCATGGCAATGGATTGATTTGCCTGAGTAATTATTTTCCTCTCTGGATCATATCTAGCATTTTCCTAGCCAAATCTTGCATCATGGTGGTTTCCGCTTAGAAACCCAGGGAGGTCGCTGCTTCTAAATGCAGTTTCCTCAAAATCTAACACTTCCTCTGTCACTCAGGAAAAAAAAAAGAAAAAAACTATCTTGTTTACTTTGCTTCCCTCAGGACCCTGTACCGCACTCCCTGTGCCCAGTGGACAACAAGCAAAGTCTAACAAGAGCAGGAACGACAATGGAGCCTAGAAACGGAAGTCACAGTCCCCAACAGAAGAGGAACTTGAGCTGGAAACAGAATTGTATCTTTTCTAAAAAGGGTGTACATAGGCGTGGTGCTGGGGGTGAAGAAGCTTGTGCTTGCTGCCCTCTCAGATACTATTGGATATATGTTAATATGCTGGGGTAGCCAAAAGCAGTTGAGGTTGAGTTGTTTCCAACTCCTGGTGATGCTGTGTGCATCAGAGTACAATTGTGTTTCATAGGGTTTTCAATGGCTGAGTTCTCAGAAGTCTCCTGAAACCTCCAGCATTTTGGCTTGCAGCTATTTGTGTTAATGGTTTGCACTACTTAGGGCTCCTTTGTTGGGCTTGCAGTTGTAGTTAAGTGTACTGTAGTCAGTTCCAACTCACAGTGACCCTGTATAGCGTTTCCAAGAAATGACTGGTGGGTTTGAATCACCAACCCTGTGGGTAGAGGAGTGTTAAATGGAATCCTTAGTGTTGTTTGGTTGGTTGGTTGATTGGTTGAGTGTTTAAAAACCCAACTCCTTACTTTTCTCTTTCTCTATGTAATGGCTGGCGACGAGCAGCAGTTCTGCTTCTAGCTCCTTCAGATCACTCAAGGCTTTGTCGTAGATGACATACACCCCTTGCTGGTCCTGGGTGTGGATATAGCCAGCTGCTGTGGTATAGAAGTCATCTTGGTTCTCCACTTCTGAGAACTCCATGAATTGCACACTGTGGACCTGAAGAAAGAATGTCAAACCAGAAGTTTCCAGAAAAGAGAGAGCTGAATTTTGTCAGCCCAAATGGACCAAACAACAAACTTTTGCTTCCATACAGTGTAAACCGTAACATTCTCACTATATAATACCCTGGAAAAAAAAGAAGAAGAGAGAAGAGAGAGAGGTCCTGCGGTAGAGACTAGCTGACTGAATTGTTTTCATGATTAACTCAGCCAGTGGTTGCTCTCAGGTCCCCACTCTGCCAGGAATCACCTCAGGCAAGTTACTCAGCTACTCTTCACCTCAGTTTCATCATCTGTAACATGGGGACAGTGGAGGCCCTGTAAAATTGTTGTGGGGATTATGTGAGACACGCATACAGGGCACTGTTGATTCATCAACATTAGTTGTTAAAAGTGTTTTTATTTTAATTTTGTACATTTTTGTGAAATGCATTAGCATAGTGTCCCAGCTTCGTCTCCTTTCACAATTTAACTTTTTAGGTGACTGAGGACCTGTTGCTTCCTGAAAAATCATCATTCTCAGAATTGTTGTTGTT